AGAGAGAGAGAGAGAGAGAGAGAGAGAGAGAGAGAGAGAGAGAGAGAAAGCTAAACAATTATGATTGAATTCAGTTTTAGGAAGCAAATTGTAAGAGTGTGTTTTACAAGCGAAAGTGAAAGTGAAGTTTTGAAATGAATTTTTTTTCAAGGCGTTCTGCAGCCTCTCTGATCGTCTATACAAATAGATAGGAAACGTCAAACAAGAACAATGAAGCGGCACCTGGTGACTGTTTGGAGAAATAGAGAATCATGTACATAGTTTGATGTAACAAGTATGCGTCTGTGTTAGTTCAAACGTAAACGTTGAAAGTATGACACATTGCACTTAGTCCCCAGGTGCCGCTGTATTGTTTACTATTTTCATGATTAGAAAGGCTGGCGTTCTGATAATGTATTGCGAAGATTTCTCGCTTGAATTGAAAATCAAGGATAAAATTTCATGAATAAAGAAAAAAAATCACAAAAACAAAATTTGATTCCATTTTAATGGATCAATAATAAGAGCCCATCTCAACCATTTTCATCTCATTGCATATGTTCCATGTTCCATGTTCAATTGATGCTCAAATACAAATGCAATGCGATGATTCTTAGATATTTTCTTCCTAGTGTAAATGGCGATAAAAAAAAGTCATGAAACGTACCTTCTTGCGGTCCTTCATCGATCCTCGACCCAATACAGCCATTTTACACATTGTCTCTTCTTGCAGTCTTTTCATTGAATTACCCTTTGGCCCAAGCAGCTTACCAACGAAATTGAACTGGTTTGGCGCAACAATGTTTTCGCAAACAACATGAGATGAGGCGGCAAGAGACGCAAAACCGACGAAAAAAAGGGGAAGAAACAAAATCGACACGCGCAAAAAAATCGAAAAGAAGAAGAAGAAAAAAAAAACAAACAAACCAGTTAAGTGGTTGCATGGTTTTGGAAATGTGTGCAAAATATATAGTATCGTCGAGGTGTTCGATTCATACACTTACTTTAGGGTGTTCCTTTACCGGCACTAGCACCTTAACAGTGACTCGAATCTGTTTCTCGCGGTAAATGTCTACATACTTCTGTTCTCGTTGTGGGATGCGGCCACTCTGTTGAACCTTTGCAATCTCTGCAAGCGAATAAAGAAGACAAGAGAAAAAAATGTGAAATAAATCCAACCGAAATCGATTTGATTTGGTGTCTTGTGAATTTCAAATGTCATAGGCGCACACGCCACAGAAAGAAGACACATACGCACGGCACCAGTGGCACTGACTGATTGACTGGCAGAAAAAAAACATGGGCTAATAAATTGATTGAAAAGTAAATGTCGGCTAACTACTAACCAGCTTCGAGCAATTTTTCAGCATGTGGGTACTTATGATCCATGCTCATCTTTTCGTTGAGCAATTCCCGGATGTATTCGTTGACCTTTTCGGGTAATTGGACATTTTCTTCTGCCTCATCATCCGATTTGACCGATGTGGTGGCATTGTTGTCTCGCCGCTTAAAATCACTTGATCCATCGCCACTGTAGTTAAAATCGCCGTTTCCCTCGTATTCGGCCATGTTGTCAGAGTCTTCGGTTTTACGCCGTTCTTTTTTTTCCGATTTTTGTTGTTTTTTTCCGGCCGTTTTTGTAGCTGGGGGTTGAGGTAATGGTAAGCCGACCAAACACAAATATTCCAATCCACTAGCAACAACCTCTTTCCTTCTTATTCCGACTCGTTCGCTTTTTCTCTTATTTCGTTTTTCTTAATATGTCAAAATCGACTTCTTCTTTTTTTTCACTTTTGCTTTTCAATAATTTCGATTTCACACCAACTCTCCCGACTGCTTTCCCAATTGAATAAACACTAACTACTTCTATTTTATATTAGCACACTGTTTTACATTGATTTTTACTTAAACTGTATGGCAATTTCAAATATTCCTGCCTATTTTCTCGTGTATGTAAAAACGACGGTATTTTTTCACGTTTTTTTTTGCTCTTCGTTTGCCTTCGCTCGCCTGTATGAGTTGAGTGTGATATTACAATAATACAAAAAAAACCTAATAAAATAAATATGTCTGCCTACAGCGGCGCGTTCTATTGTAATAATTCTCTACATTGCATTTCGTAGCGAAGATGTGTGTACTTAAATGCGTCTCCTTACACAATCTTGCCATCGCTTTGACATTTTGCAGCGGTAATCATGTCATTCAGTGTTACATCGCTGTACGAAAACCAAAAATCTACACATGACGATCGATCATGTTTGCATTTATGATTGTTTATGCGAGATTTTTTTCTTTAGAATTTATGGATTTCTTATGAATTCAATTTTAGAAATTAATTTATTAAAATTCATTGATCAAAAAATATTTCCGGTCCTTGGGATTTTTTTTTCAATAGTGATTGGAGTTGTCACAGCTGACACATAGAGGGAGCCCATTTGCACTGATAGCAAATTGCTGATTTTTTAAATGACTTAATCCATTGCCAATGGAACAATTGATACCAATTGAAGGGAAGTTGAAACCGCTTAAGATAAAATTTAACAATAGTTAATCGCTGTTGATGTCAGCTTTCCTACACTTGTGTAGAGAATTTTCTAAAGTGTATAACGTTTCGAAAGTTCTGCTACACAAGCAATGAAGGGATGGATAAATGTCAAAATAATGATACTATACCATTGATAAGAGGATTTATTATGAATTTTTTTCCCGTTATATCCTATTTCATTACAAATGTAAATAAGGTGATGGGGACCGGGCCAAATCCTGGAAATGCATGGATCCAAAAATATTCCACCGGAATTAAACATTGGGCAAAAGACAATTGACAAAAGTAACCAAATCGCCTTTTTTTTATCTATAGTCAAAATCACTAAGCAATGTATCTAAGAAATAAAATTCATTTTTTTCTTTTCAAAAATAAAAGCCCTGAATTTTAAACTAATGTGAACGTCCCTCAAATATTTGATTTACAGTTTTAACCCTTTATCACATTTCGGTTCCTAAATTTATTAGATACGCCAGACGCTATAGCTATGAAACCACTGAATATTTTGCATTCTTGTTTGAAAACAAATGTAGGGAATTGAACTAGCTTTCATTTGATACTTTACAGGCTACAATTGGCTGGCTGAATGGAAAGTTTTTTCTGTTCATGTACTGCTGTAAAAAAAATGCGAAATTATAGCAGAATTCCACAATTTTCCTCCTCTTATCTTGTGGGTTTGTACATTCTTTTCAATTGTCAAACTAGGACTTGTAGGACCAAAACACATCAATTTAACTTTCTGCATCATTAGTTTTATGAAATTTAATTTTTTCAAGCTTTTATAATGATTTGACACTTTTGACTCTTTTCCGATTTTCTCGACAAATACGCAATTTTTCAAAAATCTAAGTATGAGGTCTTTCTCTATTTATCATGGCACAAAACATATATCAAAATGATTCAAAAACAAAAAATTGTGCATCAAAGGGTTAAGTTCAAGTAGTCATACTTTGCTATGCGCCATGAATGCACAAGCACATTGCACACTCGCAACATTTTTGATTTACTTCTCATACGTTCAGGGCTGGAATTCTAAGTCATTCCACCAAAATCGTTCGGAATTATTTTTTTCGTAGATAAGACCAATGGTCTTAGACCATATTGGAGTGAAAGAGAGACATTCCACTATTTTCAGCGTCCCACCGGAATTATTTCTCACACAATCCACTCTTTCTTGAGTTATCGGAATAATTCCGGTGGGACGCTGAAAAATAGTGGAATCTCTCTCTTTCACTCTAATATGGTCTTATGTACGAAAAAAATAATTCCGAACGATTTTGGTGGAATGACTTAGAATTCCAGCCCAGAAGAAGATTGTTCTTTGGACGCGAACTGACACAAATATATCAATGGATTTTTTGTATGATTCAATCAAAACATCTTATTGTCAATTTAACCCTCTAATGCATACAACCGCCTCTAGACGAGCAACATTTGAACGCTTGTAGAACGTTAACCGTACATCGGATCACATTGCTTCAAAAAAAATTTATTCGTTAATGTTTTTTCTTTATTTTTGTCTTTGTCACCAGTACACCTAGCCCTGGGAAAAATTATTGCATTAGAGGGTTAAAATTATTTTCAAGGTGTTTTGTTTGAATCATACAAAAAAATCAATTGATATTCTCATGCATGTAACCGTTCGAGCGGTTAAAAAAATCATCGTTTTCGAGAGAGAAAAAAACAAGTGCAATATATTCTGATAGAAGACTTAATCCTTCAATTCCTGCACTTTTCCGTTTCATATCAAGCACATTACAAATGAAAGTACTGTAATAGATTGACTGGAAGGTTTGTATCTTCGTAAAGTAAAAAATGTCATCAAAAATATTTTCTAGCAATGAATTTGGCAAAACAAAAGGAATCGCAAATGATCTTTCGTACGTTTTTCCATTTTTCTGTAATGATTTCGTTTGTGGGGGCAGAATAAAGAAAGTACATTTTATGTGCTGACAATGGCAGGGCCGAAAAATAACACGCCAATCCCAATTTTGGACACATGTATTGGTTCCAAAGCATTTTATGCTGTTTAAATAATTGATAAAAATGATTTGTCGAGTTTTCAACCCAAACAATTTTTATTCGGTGAGAATTTAGTCACTCGCCGCTTATTCCATTTTGTGATGCATTTACATCTGGCTGCGAGCTCGGGCAAAAAGGACAAATGTATAAGTGATCATTAGCGATTCCTTTTGTTTGGAAAATATTTTTCATTTGTGTTTTTGGTTGACACACTTTTTACTTCGCACTTACATTGTGTGAGCTGACAATTACAACTTGGCCAAACATTTTATTTAGAGATTTTCAAAACCGCCGAACGGTTTTCAAAATTTGGCCTCGAAAGAATAAGTTTGGAATCAAAAATTCGAAAAATGTAGGAAAAAAACCACTTTCTTAGAATGCATGCAGTTTTTGAGTAAGGTGGTTTCGGAAGACTATCAATGTGCCGTTCTCGGAATTGGTTGGAGCTATTGGAACGATAAATACCGCAATTTGAAGCTAATTGCAATTGCTTTCGATCCCGCCTGACCGATTTTTCATATATGATCTTGTTTCATAGTCACACACCACTGAAAATGACTTCAAAATTTTTTAGGTAGGGGTGTTAATAGGTAATGTTAGTGGCTATAGCGGTAAGAAATCACATTTTCTTTGATTTGGCTGAAGGGATTCTCGATATCTTGATTTGTTGAAGTTTTGGACTGAACAGGTGATCTCCTTGTTACTAAGTTCTTTGCCTCATATTGGTCGACAATTTTCTCGTTTTTCCCATGCTGGGTGACTATTTTGATGATGACTCAATTGGCGTTTTTTTTTAGCGCATGGTCAAGTTCAGCCTCTGAGCACATGGTCAATATCAAGTAAATAAATGTTAACATCCAAGAAATTAGAAACAACAGCCTAAATTCCTAAGCCTAAAGTTATCATTGTTAAAATAATAATGATTTTGGAATGGATCCAGAAGTGAAAGATCGATCTACAGTTCAATAGATGCCATAGGGGTATCGCAGCGACCATAAAATATATGTATTTCATCAAGTTTATCAAGCTCTTTCCAAGTTTATGCATAGTGTCGAACTTTTGTTCAAGCTCTACCATCTAAATGTACAGTAAAATAATTTACGGGCACGACGTAAGATGGCGTTTTTTCTGGTCAAAAAGTTGTAATATCCCTTTGATAGATGCCAAATACAAGCACATTTGGAGTGGAGTATTCAAATAAAATACAGACTTCTCCGTCGATGGCCGAATCATACTGTCCCCAATTCATTTTTGTCGTCTTGCTTAAAATGATATCTTATAGCTATGAAAATTAAATCGCACACCGCTTTCATTTCGAATATTGCACTTTATTCGATTGCCAGATGGCACATTCAACATTTATACATAAAATGTTTAGCTTCTAGAACATTCATTTAGCATTGGAATTTATCACCATACCATCTCGTGGTTTTGTCCCAATGTTCGGGACCAAGTATTCAGACTGAAATATGTAGGGTTTGCGGCTATCCACGAAGCCACCGTTTGAGATCCCAAAATTTATATCATCATCATTTTGCGACGCAGCGCGATAAACCTAAATAAACAACATCTATTAAAATTTGCCTAATTTTTCACAATCGAAATCAAGGGGCGAATCACTACTGAATTGACTGAAAGTACTGAAAACAACTGAATTTTTTTTTCTTGATACTAAAAAGTACTGAAAACCGGTTTTCAGTAGTAATTCGCCCCTTGATCGAAATTGACTCACTTGACAGATAAGGCCGAAACCGAATGCTAAACTATAAAATTTATAGTGACACTATAAAATTTGAAACGTGTTTATGCTGTGTTTAGCCGAAGTATTTGGTCAGATTCTTTAAATTTATGCCAAATTCAACTAAATTAAACAATATCCACACATAATTTCTTCATTTTTTTCAATTTTATAACAGTTTCAATTTTAAACTACACTATAAAACTTATAGGGTACACTAAGTGTAGGATATTGTTTAATTTAGTTGAATTTGGCGTAAATTTAAAGAATCTGACCAAATACTTCGGCTAAACACAGCATAAACACGTTTCAAATTTTATATTGTCACTATAAATTTTATAGTTTAGCATTCGGTTTGGGCTTAAGTAATAACAAAAATATGAACAAACATATGGAATTCATCTTGCACTTGAACTATCACTGCAGCTGAGAATCTCAATTTGAAATTAATGACAGCAGCGAAAGTCTTTTATAGTCGACGACCAAATTCTAAAAATTTCAATGCATTACAATAACCTAATCAACTTTGAAATTGTAGTTTTAAAAATATTATTGCAATATCATGATCAATCAACATTATAAGGCAGTGTCTCGTGTAATGAATTTCAAACTTTAGTTTTGCTTCGGTTTTATTATTGATATTACAATGATTTCGAAATAAATCCTGAAGGAAAAGAAAAGAAGGTGGATTTGCAATTCAACATATACCAAATATAAGCATCTTTGGATCAAAGTGTTTGACTTAATACAGACTTCTCTCCCAATACCAAAACTATACCATTCACAAATTCATTTTTGCTGTCTTCCTTGAATCGTTTTGAATGATATGCCATATGAGAATGAATCGCACACCAATTTTATTCTGAGCATTGAACATTATTTGTTCGCCAAATTCAACGGAACATTCAACATTTATACATAACTAAACATTTTTTCTAGAACGTTTATTTTTCTATTGGAATTCATCTCCACATCATCAGCGCGAAGTTTTGGTAAAAACTGGCAGAAGTTGTTGTATTGTAATATAAAAATTATGCTGCGTGCTCCCTTTAAAATTTCGTTACATGTGCGTGCACTGCACGCACTCAAAACACAATTTTTCATTATACATATTATATCGTTGGGTTGTCTTCGTAGGCAGGGGTATTGCGTGGGATGTCGTCCAATTCAGCGGATTCGCCTTGGTCTTCGTTGATAGCGTTGGAGCCGGCAACGAACGTGGCGATGTATTCGAGTGCTCCAATTTTCGTTGTATCATCATATTGCGATGCAGCGCGATAAACCTGAATAAACAGCAACTATTAAAATTTGTCTTATTTTTCACAATCGAAATTGACTCACTTGATAGATAAGTAGTAACAAAAATACGAACTAACATTTGTCATTCATCTTGCATTTGAAATATCACTGCAACTGAGAAAATCAATCTGAAGTTGATCAAAACGCGAAAGCCTTTTATACATCAACATTGAAATTGTATTTTTTAGAATTATTATTAGCGAGATTAGGCTATCACGAATCAATCGATGCACAGGTCATATTTGAAAGGACTTCAACGCAGTCAATGTCTTGAAAGCATGATTTTTTCTTCGAAAGTTCCATTCGTCGAATAAAATAAATATCAACAGAATGCACATAAAAATTAAACTAAATTCGCTGGTTCATGAATGAAACATATTCTCCATTTTAATTAAATAAATATATTCTCCCTCCATTAAGAGTTAGACTATGCAAGTAAAACCTGCCTGAAGCACGCAATTTTTTCAACGTATTTTTAAGTTTGATTCCGAGAATTCGACTGGCACGCAAGTGCAAATTTTTGAGTGATTCCATTCTATGCATATGGAATTTTTCGGCAAATGGACTTGCCAATGGAATTCTCGGAATCAAACCCAAAAATACAGTGAAAAAAAAATGCTTGCTGCAAGCGTTTTACTTGCATCGTCTGACAGCACCCTAAAGGAAGTAAAGTAAAGTAAAGCAAATCAAAGCAAATTAAATGAAACGAAATAACTGTTATTTTTTTGTTTTAAATTTCATCAGAATAATTTTTTTGTTGAAATTTATTTCCATCATTTTATTACATAAGTTATGAATCTTTCCTTAAATTATACATAAAATACTATTCATCTTCATCATTCGATTTCTTTTTAAATTTATTTTGTTTTTTCTTTTTAATTTTCTTTTAAATAGTTTCTATTTATAATGCATGTGTTTTGTTGTATGGGATCGCGTGTATTTTGCTGCATTGTTGTGAGTTTGTGTGTAAATGTGTGTGAGAATTTTCCGTTTTCTTTCTTTCATTGTAAAATAAATGTGTATAACACGTTTGAAGTAGTTTTGTTTTTCTTCTTCATAGATTCGAACTCGGCAAAATATAGTGAAAAAAGCGACAAAAATGTAAATTACATTTTAAAAAAAAGAGAAACAAATCACAATTATTGAAAGAAGGTTGAAGAAAATGGAAAGAAAAATTACAGAAATGAAAAAAATTACACGTAGTCGAATTATATACAAATGGGTATTGATTTCTCTAAATATACTATAATAATTGGGCCTTCATTTATATAATTATTTGTCCATTTTTTGTTTTTTTTTTTAATTGCCACATTGAAATGAATTCTTCTCTTATTTGAAAAAAAAAGATAGTTTCGCGTCGCTTCCAATTCTTTATAAAACATTATAATTAGTTGTTATTGTTTGTTTTTCACTTTTGGACATTCAAAATAAGAGCAACGGTATATATTTCCGAGAAAAATAAAAAAAAATTGCTAAAAAAGGTGTTTTGAAGCAAGACAGGATAAAATGTTGTGATAAAATTCAAAGTCTAAAGTACAATTTATGACATTTTGTACATCGTTTTTGCCATTTTTAAATAACATCTATTTTCTCTGTCGCAATCTCGTCCAAGTGTTGAAGTGATTTTTGTCTTGTAAAGTTTTAGTGTTGTGAATGGGGGAGAGAGAAGGTGCGTTTAATACAAGGGAATCTCTTTTGCTAGTTTAGACATTTTGTTTTGTTCACTAAAAAAAATTGTTTACGCAGATCTACCTCTCCGATCGGGTATGTGTGTGCCTGACAAGGCGCTTTTCTTTGTGTCATCCTTACATTACGCTTATTTCTTACGAATCACTTCCATCTTTATGATTTCAATTGGATTTAATCAATTTGAAATTTCATTTTTTGGGATATATCTTTGAAATGTCCAATAAATGTTCTTTTTTTTCTAGTTTATTTCTCTGTTCCTACTGTAAATTCGATATCTCTGCACACATTCTTCCTAACTTCCATCCAGATAAGTGTTGATGTTATGCGTGTGTATGTGTGATTGGGTTTTTAAGTGTAAAATTCATTATTTACTTTTTTCTCTATTTTAAATATGTGTGAAATTTGTGTCTCTCATTTTTGTCACTCATCGATATTAATTTTGTTTGTTCCAAATTTTGTACATTAAAAAGCTAAACAAATTTTGCTATGAAATTTCTCTCTTTTGTAAATATTGTGTGTGTGTGCGTGCGTTTACAACGAGTAAACTCTTTCTCTCACACAATAATTTTTTGTCTATACTTTGTTTAATTTGCCTGGCCTCATCAATGACGACTATATGAAATACTCTGCCCTAGCTTCATTTTGACTTAGCAGCAACAGGCACATTTTATGTTAATAAATAGTGTTTTTCCTCTCTCTTGTGTGTTTGTGTGTATGTCAAACCGGATTAAATCGACGCGTGCAGAAACTCGTCATACCTCCTTCAATGACTCTAGCTATGTATGTATGTGCGTGGTGAATACGATCATCGTCACTTGTTCGGTTGTTTAGTTGGTTTTTTCGGTTACCTTTGGTCGTGATGTGCTTATCGTTTGACTATCGCTTTTGTCGCTCTTAGTGCTAATATTTGGCCTGGGCTCATTCTCCTTTGAATTATCCACCGAATTTTCATTTGTATTTGTTACGGTTGATTTTTCACGATTACCATCCTCCTTTGATCGGGTCAATCGCTTTTTAGCGCCAGTCGTTCCATTACCATTAGCTGCCGTCGCACTACTGTTACCATTCAGTGTTTGGGATTTGAGTTTCTTCGACGCACTGCCCACCGTTGTCGAATTGTTTGTGGCGGTGGTGGTGGTGGTGGTGGCAGGATTTGTCTTTTTACTTTTGCACTTTTTACATATGAACTCATCGTCCGGTTTCATTTGACTTTTCACCAGACCAACGCATAACATATGGAACCATTCATTGCAACCGCCATCACATTGCACCCAATCCACTTCGCGACCTATGCAATCAGAACAAATGATATTTATCATCATAAATAAATGAATCAAAGAATTTATTGAACAGTTGAAAGAAAGATATTTTCATTTACAAGTCTCGAAACGAGACATTTTGATCAAGAGAATCGATTTTTTCAAGAAAGAAAAAAAAACAAGTGAAAGCTTCACAAATAAAAACGATTTCAATGAAAAATAAGAATGGTTTCCTCACCTGTCGGTCGAATGCAATTTGCAAAACTGCATTCTTCGTCTTCGTCAGATGTTGATGCGGTCACCACATTTCGGCCGTCATCTTTTGAATTCGTTTCCTGTCGCGTTTGATTCGTAACACTTTTGCGTCCGCGTTTCTTCTTCTTTGCGCTTAAACTCAATTGAATGCTGTCACTCAGTATCGTCGTACTTTCTTCGATTGTTGTGCACATTGCATCGGTGTCTTTTGTAGTCATTGTCATTTTGCGACCTCGTTTCGGCTTTTGTGCGGGTGTTTTATTGTTTGCATCGGCTGTGTCATCGTTGCGTGACAGCTCATTTTCAAAGTTTGCTATATCCTCCATGTCTTCATCGTCATCATTATCATCGTCATCGTCTGATAGCCGTTGTCGCGATAGCCTACGAACACAGACACACAAACACAATACAGACCATATTAAATTGGTTGGAAAACCTCAACTTTATTTTTGAGGGGAAAAAAGAGAGTCGAGCAAAAGAATGAATCACAACATAAGACACTCACCTTTGATCAACTGACTGATAATCATTGCCGCGCATTCTTGACTTTTTCAGGAAGGCATCATTTTGGTGTTCATCTGAATGCCGTTTTCTAATGTTACTGACTAGAGCTTCATTCACTTGAGGCTGTTGAGAGGAAAAATTCGAGCAATTATCATGATTGCATCATGGCTTAGTAACAATTGCACTTCAAAAAAGTGCTCGTTTGGTCTTGAATTGAAATCTATCCAAAAAAAGAAATTGTCAACCATTTGAAACACTCACCATAATGTTGTATTTGGAACGTATTAAAGCCAAATCGGTAATGTCGGATTTAGATGCATTGAATAGTCGCCAGAGATATTGCGTTTCATCTAAAGACACTTCAAGGAGATCACCTTCCATCATCAGCTCATCAATTTTATCCGATGTGGATTTTTGTAGCTGAATCAATGGGCCGGTCGTGGTTTTGCTGGCGGTTGAATTTTGTGCGATGGCTGCTGGTGTTCTTGGTGTTGGTGTTGTGGGTGCTGTTGAATTCGGTGGCACATCAACTGGAACTGAATAGGCATGTTCAACGTCTCTCGATTCGTTGGCGTCATTCTTTGATTCGGCAATGTTTTGTTGCTTTTGTATTGAGGCGAGTGCATTGACCACTTCGACCGTTTCAAGCACTTGTCGGGCACGATCCTGCCAATTCATTGCACGTTCGGTAAGACACTGCAGGGCTTCACCTTCTGGCAATCGAATCGGTAGCTTTTGCAGCGATACAAGTAGCGTTAGAATTGTTTCGAGACGAGGTCTTTTCGAACGTTGACACGATTCGCACAGGTATTTGGGTTCACGATCACGAGCACGCCCATTCAATGGTGCCATCGATGGGTTTGACGTTTGATTTGATGCGGCCGCAGCGGCAGCGGAATTACGATTCTGTTTGGTGGGTGTATTATTCGCTGAATTGCTTGTGCAGGTATTTGGATAGTTTCGCACGCAGCCCGCATGGAACCAATCGAGGCACAATTGACATTTGTACATGTTACTGCGGAACGGTTGATGGCACACACAATACTTGTCCTTTTCCGGGTTCTTATTTTGATTGGTATCGCGCAGCGCACGCATATCGCTGATTTCTTTTTCTTCGGCATTTTTAAAGGCGACCACCATTTGTGCGGGGCCCATGTCTTCGGTAAATTGCTTTTCATCGTAAATCGCACACGATTTCGATGTAGCGCTGCCCAGTTTTTCCGCCGAACTACCCACATTTGACACAAGCATAATTGGTTTTGCACGCGGCGATAATACTTCGAGTAATTCTAAGAAGCTGTTTCGCTTCAGGAACGTTCGGCTGGTTTTTTGCTTCCATCCACGAGCGCTGGTCAAATGTTCCTCCATACGCTTCAGTTCTTCGAGTTGGAATGGAATATTTTTACCGCGATTCACCACATTTTCCAGTGTATGGAAATACGGGTAGTTTTCATTTGCCTGTAGGATTTCCACCGTTGCCAGCCATTCTTTGGCTTTGCGTAAAGCATCTTCGAGCGTTATCTGTGACGGTAGTTCACCTTCAATCGAATTGGCCCGGTTCAATAGCTCCTCAATTTCCGGTATATCATGTTGTGTACCACTTTCGAAGCATTTCTTTGAATCAGCCTCCCATTCTTCGACATCCATTAAAATGCTTTGTAAATCGTGCAACTCCTGTTGCACCAATGTATCATCGACTTCACCAACCACGGCCAGCGCATGACCATCGCTCAAGAATTTCTTGATTACACTCAACGGAATCTTATCGTCGGACTCGCGCATTTCACGTACATTATTATACCATTTCACCTTTTCGAGCAATGCTTTCAACGGTTTCATTTGTTGCAATTCAATGCACAATGCGCTGCCCTCTTCGATCATCTTTTCAACGGAGGATTCTTTGATCTCATTGATCGGCTCCTTCAATAGATATGTTGCCAATTCGGCGAATTCTTTGCCGATCTGTTGCAATTCACGCACACTGCTTCCCTCTTTGATGACACAGCATAGATTGTCGATCTCCTGCACAAACATGTCCAACTCTTCGATCGTCAATTTGTATTTGGCTATTTCGCATGATGAATTCCGGGTTCGTGTTCTTACTTTGTTTATATCCAACTGTTGGATAACTGTAACACATTTTTCCGCCTCTAAAACGGCCGAATTCAAGCGTTCGAGCAACACTGATGATGGGAATTTTTTGTCTTCTGCCTCTTGGGCCAACTCTTGTAATTCGTCCAGTGTCATTGTGGTCGGTGTCGTTGGATCCAATACATCACGCACTTTTGTGATCCACGTTTCAAATGATTCAGCCTTAACTTTTAGCTTTCGCAACATCAACGGCAGCTCGTCCAGTGTGTAACGATATTTAAGTGTGTGCTTTTCCGGCGCACATTTACACAATTCCGAATAATGACGAAGGCATACCAGTGACTTAACGCATGTACATGTGACAGCCGATAAAAAGCAGGTGGTTTTACATACATCACATTGACGCTCATCATCCGGAATTAATTCAAATGCTTCACGTTCCGCTTTTGTAACGCCCCATTCCAGCAAACATTTACGCAGTTTCTTTTCCGTATCGACCATTTCAGCCATATCTAGGTAGAGATAGAAATATTGAACAAATTGAAATGTATATTTATTACAGAGGTTTTTTCGTTAATTATTATCCATAATCGTGAATATTGTCATATTATTATTCTAGTCTTTCTGAGGTGGACAAAAATCGAACCAAAAAAATCGGATTTCTAAGATCAAATGAATAAAAATGAGATGAAGACACGCTTGATGAATTTTCGAAGAACATGATTTTAGAAATAAATCGAAAAAATTCTAAATGGAAACAATTGATTTCAAACAAATAGCTATTAAAACTGTGAAAATGAAAAGAACACACAAATATGAAGTCAGCGATAGCATAAGAACAAAGTATACAAAAAATAAATTAAAAACATAAAAACTCTCCTTTATAAAATATAAATTCTAAAGAAAACTCCAAATCGAATAAAGTATTACCTAAGTAGCACGCGGTTGCAATGCCCAGATTCAATTTATCCGGATCCAATGCCATTTTACAAACCAATTCATCGTGCGAAAATACACAAAATCGGCGTAAATTGGAATAGTGATTGATACATTCACGTCCCATTTTGATCTGCAATGACATAATGGAGAAGAAAAATAAATGGTTAGATTCCATTGTAACGTTTCTTTAATTAGTTTAAATTTAAATTCTTCGGAAAAAAAACGTATTTTTCAGTGACTTCAAAACAAATTCTAGAAATAAATCGAATAAAAGACATTTCCGAACGATAAAAGCCGCAGTAAGCTAAATTTTGAAATAGCTACGAATTAAAACAATACAAAAAATGAACTTGTATTCCGCAAATAGGTCGTTTTATCAGATTTACGGTGCCAGTAAAGCCACACTCCAACTGCTTTTATTCATAAAAAATGTAAGAAAAAAAAGAGTTTTTTCAAAATTCAAAACAAAATACTAACCCAATCAGCCGGTGCAAAATTAACTGCTTCGGCAAAATTGTATCCTTGATTGAATCCAGCATGATATGCTCTTGGGAAGGTGATGACAAATTCGCCGGCATGTTGATCGGTGCGATAGACTGGAACGCCAGCATGCATAAGTGTATTTGGATTCATAATAGTGACAAGCTGATGCAATAAGTCTGGTTGTGATTGAAATAGTTCGGGTGCAGCACTTCGCATCGTATTTTCGAATGCTTCGGCTTGGCTGCCTGGCACACCGTACCATGTTTTCGGTTCGCCCCAATGCAAATAATTGATTGAATAGCTCCAATGATCTTCGTTGTGCCAGCAAAATGTGGCAAAGCACATTCCAACATACATCCACGGTACTTTCATTCCTGATATGTCAGCATTTATGTGACCCAATACGCTCTCCTCCAGCAGTGGCAAATTGTTTAAATTCCAACTACTGTCCGCGTATTCCAAGTCACCGGGCAGTAAATAAAGTGAGTTTTTCGTTGGGAAACCAGAACCATGGTCCATTGTATGCAAATCGGCACCATATTCAACGGCCACATCTTCATCGATGGACGAAACGATGCGCCAAAATTCCCGTTCAACCAGTTCCGTTGGCACCAAATGCACGGGAATATTAAAGTAGTCCGCTTTGAATTGATCGGCCATTTCGCCGAATTGCTGCAGAGTGTATTCACGTTGCGCCTGCTCAAAGCCAAACGCTTCGACCGGTTTGCTCACCTCTTCGACAACGCATTTCGGGCATCGCCAGTCACCCTTCGGAATATCGGTCAATGGCGGCATCAAACAGAATGTGTGATAACTGTCATCGCAACCGTCGCACAGTAACATTGCCTCCTCACCATCGCCACGCGTACATATGTGACAAATGTACTTGGCCAATGGGTCCGCATGATTGCGTCGATTTACCTGTTGTCTTTGCTGACGCGCACTTTGGCCACCACCATTGCCGCCTCCATTCATTCTTGATTTAGTCGGTGTGGTTTGATTTGATTTTGATTTAATTCCCGGCATCTTTGGGCCGGCTCCAAAGATTTGTAAGCGCCGCAATTCAGCGCGTGCATTGGCCGCTGAATTGACGGCCGCTTCGGAAGCGCTGCTACCTAATTTACTATCACCGTTTTTCTGTGGGGTAACTCGTTTCGATGGTGATTTTACATCGACATCGTCGCAGCATTCGTCCTCCGCTTTGATTTCGGATTTCATCAGAAAACGTTGAGATCGTCGGGCCGTCGTTTCCGTTGGCGGTGTGACATTTTGTCGCGACGGAATGCCGTGAGGCTTATAATCATGGTCGTCGGAGTCGGGCTCTAGTTTTGGCTGCAAGAAAAAGAGCACAAAAATAGTTTTAAAAACTCGCATTCGTTTATTTGAATTTTTCGCTGATAAAAAACGACTTTTATATCTCAGATAAGATTTTACCTTGAGTTCGCCTTCTTTGCCAGATGTGAATACATCGAATGGATACAGAATGCGTTCGTAGTGACCTTTCAAAATGGTACCCACACTTTTTCCCACCGGATATCCCAATCGATTTGCAATTTTCGACCATTTGCGACCATTTGTCGTACATTCCAAACCGCCTTCCTCTTGCACAAGCCGATGCAACGAATACAGATCCAGCGCTTTGCGTTCGACCATTGGAATTTTCAGTGAGGATCCTTGCAATTCCCAAAACTTGGCAATTTGATCCAGAAAATTTAATTTGACACGAGTCTTTGCCTCGAGCTCATTCAACCGTTGCACTCGCGGTGTGAAACGCAATTTATCCACATCGACTGTGAAGGGCGGCTGCCAAGTCTGTGAAATGATTCAAGAAAAAGGGAATTAGTTTAGATTTCCTCCAATTTTGCTACAAAAATGAAAATGAGTAGTCGTATTTGTCAACAAACACACTCACCGGTGGCGGTCGAATTTTGCATATGCCATACTTTTCAGCGATGGGCCGAATTTTGCTGATATAAGTCAGTGGGTTTTTGAATTCTTGTTCGCTTGGAACGAAAATTGGAGCCTCTTCCGGCACTTCGAATTCAAATTCTTCATTTTTGATAATGGAAAATGAACTGTGCGTTTGACGTGTTGACTGTGCTATGTGAGGACGCGTTGATGATGATGCGGTTGATGTTGATGACTGTAAATGGGATGGTGTTGGTTTTGTGTCCGTCGTCGTTGCTTCGGGTGATGCAACTGATATCACGTCATTCTTGCTGGGACTGCTATCCAAATCGATGGTTTCAATGGGTTCAGTCTTTGTCGATTTACTCGATTCGATGCTATTGATTTGCATTCTCAATAAATTATATTTTGTTATGAATTTAATCGCTTCTCTCGTGTTTTGCTTCTTCTTCTTCTTCTACCTTTTTTGCTCGTTCTTAATCAATTACTCAATTTCCTCTTTTGCTTTTTTTTTGTTTTACTTGCTGCTATATCAAATAATGAGCTTTTGGGCTTGATTGGCTGCTGTTGTTGTTGTTGTTTATTTCGTTATGATTTCTACGGATGAAATTTGGTTTTTCGTTGAAACTCAAACAGACGAAAAACTATGAACGAAGGCGCTGCAACAGCATCCGAGTAGTCATTTAATTTTATTCATTTTGTCTGGCATTCAGTTGGCGTGTCTCTCTTGCTACTTTATCAGCACTATCGCTCTGTTCCCAGTTCACTGCACACGAATTTAGTTGACTTCGTTTCAATTTTTTTTATCATCTACACTCACACAATTTGATTTCAGTTTAAGTTCTCTGTGACGTGTGGAAATCAGCCAGTCGATTTTGGAAAAGTAAAAATCTGCCAAAAAGCAAACAAACAGAGAAGAAAATTAAAAATGCATTATTACTTCATTTGAAGTAAAAAAAAAGTATTATGACGCATGCTATAAAAAAAAGTGATGGCTTGAAAATCCGATTATATGCTTAACACGATTTTAAATTATGCAGAAAGCGCGTCCAATAAACGAGCTTTGTTGCTGATTTTTTCTTTCTTTCTTTCCCTTTTTCATTCACTCTTACACCTCATTTCATATTTAAAAACACACACACACATATCATAATCATCAGAATAAAATTGCGATTTAATGCACTCAAGCGTTCTTAGTGCTAATGTTGGGTAGAAAAAAAAAGGTAAACCGAGTAGAAAAAAACCTATAGAATGCGCGCACGGAAATCTAGAATTTTATCGAACGCAAGTGTTGTGTATATCATCTATTATACCACCTTCGCACAAGTTTGTTTATTTGTTGTGAAAATCGCCATTTTTGCACTTTCCGCCCGAACAACGGCAGCGTGACAAGTTTTGGTTTTCCTTTTGTTTGGCCATAAAACCCACTGATTTACTTGTTTCCCATTTTCCATAACAATTTCTTCCATCTTCGTAACAGTTGAAAACTGTGAATTGCATGAAAATATAGTGCCATAATAAGGCTCGACGATTGAAAACGTTCACTTCAAAGACTCGGCCAAACATTGGACATCAAGTAAAACTCTCTCTCTCTCTCTCTCTCACTCATACACAAACACGTAGAGACATACGAAAAATGACAATGGATGTCGTAACCGTTTGTAATTAATATTGAGTGCATTGTATGCAATCAAACATAACATCGAAAAAAAAGCAAAGAAAACTAACCAACTTTGTACAATGGCTGAATCGGTTCCATCAATTTCAGAAGAAGAAAAAACAACAAATTATGAACTTTACATACGATAGGCGAATGCGAGCATATACACATGAATCGAATTCGAGAGCGAGAACGTTATTTGGAAGCGCCGAGCAGGAGAACGAGAGATCGGAAAATGCAAGAGCGAGAGCGGAGGGTAAATAGACGTGAATAAAAAAAAACACACACACACAACACAAACACAACACACCGAGTAGAACGAAGTGCAATGTGAATGGTATCGTCCAAACACGAAACGTTGTCTACGCCGAGGCGAGAAAATGCATAATGGCTGGCGCACGGCACCACACAAATCGACACTTCAAAATTGAAACTTTTATTTCGGATAAATATTCTCGTGCTCACTCTCTCTCTCTCTCTATTTCTCTCTATTTCTCTTGAACACAATTCAATGAAATACACAATTTTGCTGGCATTGCACACATATGGTTTCGATACATCGATTTGGTTGGATCTAAATTTGAAGTAGATTTTTTGGATTGAAAACAAATTCCACCCTTTTTTCCCGTTCAAACCAAATTTTATTCCAATCCGATTGAAATTGTTCGATGCATGATGTGGACGAAACTACGAACTCGATTGCGGTTTGCATTTCACTTTACTCCACCAGAACCACCGAAAAGATAACAAAGAAAAACATAACCAAGCTCGAATTCGAATTAATGAATAAATAACACAATAAACATCAATTTTTCAAACGAAACACTTCGAATTTCGATCAATTATACCCACGAAATGGACAAGCACACAAACATACACAACATTTGGAAATTGGTAAAGGAAGGAAAAAAAACGATTTTTTTCTAGTTTGCAAACAGTATTGCATCGCTTATTTGCATACCGAATACTAGTTTTTCTTCCTCTGTTCGTTTTCTCTTTCGATTTTCGATATTTGGTTACTTTTCACTTTTCATTCCTAGCCGAATAACAAACAAATCCCAATCCATAAACCAAACGAAAGCAGAATGAAGTGGAAAAAAAAATTATGCCCGAATTTATTTTATCGAGTCAACAAACTGAAGAAGAAAAAAACGGAAAGCAGCGGAAAATAGCGATTCGGTATCGAGTCAAAGCACAAAAAGAATCAACGATTTTACCATGTAAATTTATTTTATTGCGAAATGAAAACGAAAAACGAACCACCAACCAAGTTTCAGGGTAAAACGGTTAAAAAAATTATCCTATCTATTTATTTAGTTGATGCGTTTATTCACTTTGTCTATATTTCTTTTGTATTATTTTTATTTTCCGTTCGTTTTTTTTGTTTTTTTCTTTGCACTTTTGTATGATTTTTTTTTTCGTTCACTTCTCTCTCACACATTCTGTACTTTTCGTTTTCGTTGTTAATGTTCGGCTGAATTTCCTACATTTCATAACTAAGATCTTATTTTGCACGTACACACAATCCACTCGATACTATACGAGCTGTATGTTTTATACAATTATGCTAGTATATATCGGTTTGGTATAACACATACAACGGCAAACTACCACATAAAGGCTGCACTGGTAAAGCACAGCCACTCATTCGTTCGTATACACGCATACAATCATGCAGTTTTCTCATTACTCGCTGCTTTTTCGTTCGGTTCAACAATAGTTTTTTCTTCTTTTCTCGTCGACATGTAACGACATCGACGACAATACATATGCACGCACGAACACAAGCATACACTCATACACACACACACACACACACACACACACACACACACACACACACCGTCGCACATCCAACCAGCCCGAAACATAAGAGAGGCATCGTTGCTTCGTTTTTTTTTTATTTCTCTTGCTGTATAATATACCAAATGACGGCAACCTTAACAGCACTTAACAGTTGAGTTCAATTGTATGCACATATAGTTATAGGCCATCTTCATGAGTTCCATTCGGGTTTGGGTTCTGTCTAAAATCATATATCCAACGGATGATCGACTATTTTTCCAAACAGACAAACTCTTGCCAAAAAGAGAGTGCAAGAGAATGGGCGAGGGAGCGAGCGAGCGAGCGAGAGTGGCTGTGAGAGAGAGAAAGAGATGCAGAGTGTGTGAGAGAGAGTGAATTTGTGAAATTGAAAAGAGTCAACCGTGTTTCAAGGAGGCTTTGACTATAAAGATAATGTCGCTACGAGCACTATGATTTTTCAAAAGAGATTTTTTTCTCTTCGCATTTCGAGTTTGTGCAACGCGAGAAACCCAACCATTTTCGAAAAATGCAAGTGAACTGCATATTCATTGGCACATAACACACATCACTGCAAATGCACTTGGAATGCATCAATTGAAATCGATAAAAAAAAACTATTGAATGTGTCGAAATTGAAATGGTCTCGGTGACAGAGGACGCCAGCGATTGGCAATGGGATAAAAAAAACAAACACACAATTTGGTTGACATTTCACATCGAATATATGATTCCTATCAGAAAAATCGGAATCAGGTGCAAATTGAATTGGATATTGCACATTTTATACACCGTTCAAACTGTAGCACACACATTTCAATCAAATGATTATCGCGAATCGGGTGGTGACACAGTGGTGGTGGTGGTGGATTTTGAGGTTTGAGATATCCATTCAAACCACATTGCAAACATGAGGTTGGCGAACACCCATGGTTCGTCTCACAATTATGTGACAGTAATTGCGAATTAGCAAAACCAATTGCAATCGCAACCTTTCGCGCGTTTCACATTCAATTTTTTCGCATGAAAAATTTGCACTTTTTTTTCTCTCTCGCACCAATCACATACACACATTGAATTCACACAAATTTTTATCATCATTCTTGCATTGCTTGCCTCACACGAAAATTCACTTTCGCGTTCATTACTACTTTTTTTTGCACAGTTTGCAATCATTTTTCTTTTCTTCTTTTTTGTTTGGATTTAATTGAAAAACTGAAAAATCAGAATCGTATTTTATCTTTTACTTCATCTGTTTACTGTGGAAAAGTGAACGAAAATAATAAACGATTGAAATTTACACTTGCATCAGCTATTTTGCAGCTGTTACTGTTGTTGGAATTATTATTACTGATTCATATTTAGTTCAGCACAGACAAATGGAAAAATTCATTTTTTTTTCCTTCTTTTGTCAAAGTAATTAACAAAAAATGGAAAATATGCCCCAAGTTGAACAAATAAAAAAAAAATCCATATAAATTCGAATACACGAAATTTTTTTTAAATTCACACACAAATAAAAGAAATATAAAGAAATACAGTGAGTGCACACACCAATTGTTATGATTTTCGATTTGATTTTGAAATAAACACACGGACTTTATTATCAACGTTTTTTTTCTCTCCTTTCGTTTAGTTTTAATAGAAATATGTCTATTATATGTATTTTTTTTTTTATCTTATTAACGAACGAAATTAATTACCACAAAATAGATTTGTGTTACTGTTGCTTGATTTCGTTTGCTGTTGCAAATACACGAATGTGAATATACACATTCAAGCCGTCAGCGTGAAACAGAAGAGAGAAGAGACAGAGAGAAAGAGAGAGAGAAAAAATGAAATACACATGAATATGTGTGTGATTCGTTTCTCGCGATTGAAAACTAAACGAAAGCCAAGAAAATATAAACTTGAATATATGAGCATACATAGAGAGACCGAAGCGATGTTCATATGAGTAGGGAACAAAAAAAAGTACAAATAAACGACATACAAATCACTCAAAAATTCGCCGTGTGTGAGAGAGTTCAGTACTAAAACAACATTCATGCACACACACACACACACACACGCACGCAACTCACACATATGCCGAACGAACACACAGGATCTTTCTTTTCAATTTCATTTCAGTTTTAGTTCCATCCGTACGTGTGCCTATATCATTTCATATTGAGTTCATGCCATGATTCGATTTTTTTTCTTTTTTTTCTCTCGCTCACTGTTGTTTGTTTGATAGTATAGCGTACGTTTTTCTATTATGAGCAGCTCTTTGTCAATTGTGCATGATGGTGATGAGCCAACATCGTAATGGCGGCGCTACTTAAAATATCAATTATAAATGCCCAACTTTGATTTGAATTATTTATACAATGGCAATCTTTGAAATGAATTCAACGATTTTAATGGAACCTCTCTTTTAAGCTCCATGGCCAGTATGATGATGATGAGGTGGATTTGTGTTAAATTCGGGCGAAAAATGCCAATTAAAAACAAAAGATTGCAATGACGGCAAAGGGGGCCATCGATTTAAGGGAAAATTACATGTGTTCATGTAGTTGTGTGTGATCAAAATTGAATGAGAGTGAGAGAGAGTGGTACAGCCATACAAAAACACCGCATAGCATTGAACGATACACTGCTTCACTGTTGATTAAATGGAACTATACACAAATACACGGATAAACGCACACATCAATAAAATACAACTTATTAGTACAAATATGACTAGTCAAAGTGTTGCCACACATCACAAATTCACATGTCCATTCAAAACATATTCGCTGGTGTTGATTTCGCGTCGGAAGTACTATTTTCAAAAATGACCACCGCCATGCATTTGATTGAGTGATTTGATCTGAGAAAATGCAGTTTTCATTTGAAAAACTTATTATTTTCCATCATTTTATCCCCAATGCAACTTCCATGAGTCCATTTGACTGAAAAAAAAAATGACGGATTTTCCCATTCAGAATCCAATTTGCTGTTTCATTTTCAATAATAATTCGTTGACATTTAGCTATCAAAGCTAGCATTTGAGTAGTGGTGAAAAACACACTGTGTGTATGACAGTTGAACTGTCACTTTCTCAAAACTAAGGTTATGCGAATGTTTTCGCAATTTTTGTGCTCAGAATCAAAATAAACGGACGATTCTCGTGATTTTAGTTGTTAACAATGTTTAGAACGGGAGTGCTTCGATTGATTCGTACCGCAAACATACGCTCGTATCGTCCGATTTCGACCAGTTTGTGGCGTACCAATTCGCACAATGAACGAAAACCATTGCCAACAGTTGACGATTTATTCGGAAAGGATCGACGACCGATTGAACCGCTCGCCGAGGATCCGATCATTGTGAAAAAGTTCTTTGTCAGTGAAGTGGATAGGGAACAAATGTTGTATCCAGAAGTGATATCAAGAGATGAACTGGATGCATTGATCAAACTAAATCAGAATGTATCTGACTACATTGAGACAAGTATTGAATTTGATGGCAAAGGCATAAGTAATTCAGTGCATGAAGCATTCAAACAAATGGGATTGTACGGTTACAATGTGCCGCAAGAGTTTGGAGGCCGAGGATATATTCATACGCAAACGATAATGACTGGTGAAGCTGAAGGGCAAAATATCAATGTTGCCATTGCGTTGAACGCTCATCGTTTGGTATGCGAAGCAATCAATGAATTTGCCACCAATGAACAACGATCCAAATACTTACCAAAGCTAGCCAAAGGCGAATCAGTTGCAACCACCGCTTTTCAAGAATGGACCAGAGAAGATATCGTTGCCAATAGAACAACGGCTGAATACGATGCTAATAAACAACAATGGCGTTTAAATGGCACCAAATCATTTGTTGTCAATGCAGCGAAAGCGAATTTGTTCATGGTTGCAGCATTCGTGCCTCAAAGCCAAAAAACAGATTCGCTGTCCATTTTCTTAGTTGATGCCAGCCTACCCGGCGTTTCAGTTCACAAGAAAGACAATACAATCGGACACACGGATCTTTATCAGGCTGATGTTTCATTTAAGGACATTTACTTGACACCAGGTGAACATTTTTTTCTTCGTATTTTTTTGTATTTTTGGACGTTTAATTTCAATAATTGAAATTGACCAGAACTTGCACGGTTTTCTTCAATTCTAAATTATTTATAAACCTTTCAATTTTTTTTTTGCTATTTTCTTTCAGATTCAATGCTCTCAACACCCGGATCGGGTCGTCACATTGAACGAACCACAATGTTTCTATCGCGATTACAACAAAGTGTTCTGAATATGGTGCAAATGAAAGCGATTGCTAAACACATGCTCGACATGGTCGATTCAGTGGAACAACAGAAACGAATCCTCAAGTAAGAACTCACAAATCAATGCCGTCTGTGATTATCCAGTGAAATAGATAAATGAATAATGTCTGCTAATTTACTTCATTTCCAATCAATAACTCTTTGAAATCTTGAATCCGGACAAATGTGTCAAAGACTTGGATTGAATTGATTTCAAGATAGCCTGATTGGATTTCAAAACAGCCAGATTGATTATTTTTCCACATAAATTGAAATTCTGATTGTTGAAATTAGATTTAAAGGGAAAATTTCATTCTCTACTCTTCCACTTTAGCCCCGAAGGTACATCATTCGAAGATAGTTCACTGCGATTGGAGGCATCAAAAGGTATATCAAGTATTTATGCTGTTGAAAGTATGCTCTATATGACTGCTGGATTGATGGATCTGTACAAGAATACCAACATTGAGGTGGAATCAGCCATTCTTAAAGTAAATTTCATTTTGAAGATTTTGAGAGTTATTCTATTGATTCGGACATTACAACACTTTTCTCTCATTTATTTTCAAACCATTGTATTTTAGACCTATTCACAAGATAAGCTACTCTCAATGGCGATGAGCTTGTCGAATTTCATCGACACACCGGCCACACTTGAAGAGCATCCTCTGAATCGGTTAATCCGAGATGCAGTGCAATTGCAAACATTTGGCGAGCCAAAGGATATTTTGAAACTATACATTGGTGTTGCGGGCATTCAACATAGTGGGGTGATTTTTTTCAATCAATTTATTGAAATCATCGAATGAAACATACCTAAACTACGTCATAGTTCAGTTTTTTTTCCTTCAAACACTAATTTAAATATATGAATCTTCATTATCACAGGATCGTCTCTTTGATGACGTGAGAAAAAAGCGAAATCCCTTCATGAATCCGGAGTATGCGTTCCGTAGTTTTTGGAAGCAAGAAACAATGGAAGAATATGAGTCAGATTTAAATTTGCATGAGCACGTTGTAACGGAATTCGATCGACATGCCGGTTGGTTGGAGGCATCAATACAGCGTCTTCGTATCGGTGCAAATATCTTAATGACAGCACATGGTCGCAATCTTTTCAACGAACATCATGAAATTCAGCGGCTGGCTGAAACAGTCACATACATTTATGCATCGTTTGCATGTTTGGTGCGTGCAAATCGGTCGTGGATCTTAAAATTGCCCGAAGCTGAAAATGAACGTGTGCTGGCTGGTTGCTGCTGTGATACGAATACAAAGTATATAAAAGAGCTCATGGAACACATTGAATCCGGTCCAATGGATCCACTTGACAAACACTATCAAACAGTAGCAAAAGAATTATTGAAAGCAAAAGCATATTTCCCCGTGCATGCGTTGAGTCGTTTCTTGTAGATTTAATCAATTTTGTTGAAACACTGAAGAAAAATAAATCTTATCAATTTTGGAAAGTAATTCATTAATTGGGGCAATTATTATATTGAACAAAGTTGACCCAAAGGTTGACCTTCGAAATTATATTCCTTGAATAATTTCTGTTCAAATTCCACTTACGTCGTCAAATCCAATTCGAATTCTTTGAATGTGGTGAAATGAATGCCGCTCGACGAGCTGTCATTTGACACATTGAGGTTATGTCAATGTAAAGTTGTTTTTGTAGTTGAAACCAAAATAAACGGATGCACCGAAACGAATGCAAGGCGTTCGAAAATTTTGACACAGTCTTTTGTTTGATTAATTCGAAATAAATAACTGTAAATAAGATGATTCTACGGAGAAGTGCTTTATCATGTGTACGCACAAATTATTGCCGGTGTCGTTGGATTTCGATGAGTTTGCCGACAGCGAATGAAGAGCGAAAGAATTTACCATCACGCAGACTATTCGACGATCTCACCGAACGTCGTTTCATTGATGAACAATTGTCGCGCAGTGGCCGAAAACCATTCGAAGTGATGCTGGAAAAACCGATTGTTGTTAAGAATTTTTTCATATCGGAACTTGAGAGTGAAGAGATTAAATACCCGGAAGTGTTGTCAAAGCAACAGCTGGAAAAATGGAAAGCAACGAATGGAAATATTGCCGAACAGCTGACGAAAAACGTTAAGTTAAGTCAACAAATTGAGAGTCTGAAAAAAATGAATTTGTTCGGTTATAATATTCCAAAAGAATTCGGTGGTCAAGAGTATTCGTACACGGAACGTGCACTGGCCAGCGAAGTTGAAGCACAGAATCTTGCAGTTGGATTATTGTTGAATGCTCATCGTTTGGTCTGTACGGCCATTTGTGAAAATGGTACCAACGATCAATGTGCCAAATATCTGCCGAAAATGGCCACGGGCGAAATGATTGGCACCGTAGCATTTCAAGAATGGAACAACATGGAGAGACAGGGACTCAATACTAAAGCTGAGTACGATGATGACGATGAACAATGGTGTTTGAACGGTAACAATTATATTGAATCATTTTGTTGTGGGTTTGGAACCCATTTTTCTAATTTGTTTCTCTTTTGTAGGAACCAAATCCTTTGTAATAAACGGTGACGGTGCGAATTTGTTTATGGTATTGGCACAGACACAGATCAGCGATCGACTGGGAGATAAGAAAAATGCTCTAAGCATTTTTCTAGTAGACAGCTCTTTACCCGGCGTCAAAATTCACAAACAAGACAAGAAAATTGGACTTACCGACACAAACCAAAATAAAGTCACATTCAAAGATGTGATAGTATCAAAAGGTAAACTACTAAATTTTTCAGACGTGATCTTACACGTTCTTCTACCATTGAATGACATTTATTTCATGTTTGAGTAATAATTTCGTAATAATTGCGTCATTTCGTACTCCAAAATCAAGAAGAATAATTTTTGAATATTTTTTGGGATATTTTTCTTTAAATGTTCCCCGCAGGAACTGGTTGCTCACATCAACGGGTGGAATTTCATTTATTATATGAAATGTTCATTTTGTTTCAATATTTTATATCCACTAGGGTAGCCCAAATGCCAAATGTTTTAAAATTTGCAGCTCCTAACCGCTGATCCGAAAATTTGGGCCGAAAAAATAAATTTAAGCTATTTTCCGACATACTTTTACTAATCAAATCCACTCCCCCGAGAGCTATGTAGTTTGTAGGGGAATAAAATCAATACATTGAAGAATATTCAAAAATTTTGGTACTATATCGCAATTATACTGGACAACAAATGACTGGATCTTACTGCTGGCGTCTAGTACTACAATTTTGGTCAATATTACAATGCTCTAAAGTGCAAAACTGAGCTGTTAGGGGTGAATATATGGCCAAAATCGACCGAAATTTCACATTTTTGCTACAATAACGTCATAAAACCTCAAAATCACTACTTACAACACAGTTTTTGAGCCTATATCGACTCAATTTTTTCCGTACAATCCAAATATGACCATTACCGGCCAGTCTGAACCCATTTTGGTGCCAATAATTTCGTCGGTTTACACTTTTGATAGAAATTTTGCTAAGTAGCGCTCTCACATCGGATTTTCAACAAACATCAATGGCCAAAACACCAAATCGACGGAAAATGATCAGAATTTTTGATTTGAACCTTCATACAGTGATTTTACACGTGTCAAAATGTAAAAATACTAAACCAACTGCGAAATTGCACCAAAAAAGGTACCGGTCGATGTGAAAAAAGTTTTTCTCTCCAGCTCTTTGGCAAATTTCAATTGGTTCCTATAATTGAGTCCAAACCAAGAAAAACTGCATCATTAGATTTCATATATTG